CTGCAAGAGACTCACTTTGTATCTAAGGACACAAACATTTTGAAAGGAAAAAAAATGGTAAAAGGTACTTCATGTATACAGCAACCGAAAGAGAACTGGTGTGACTACAACAATAACAGAACCGAAAAAAAATAAAAAGGCTTTGGAATGAAAATTGTGGCAAGAGATAAGAAAGATATTATACAATGATAAAAAGGTCAATCCACCAAGAATACAGAGCAATTATGAACATATATGTGCCAAACATCAGAGCTCCAAAATATATGAAATCAACATTAATGGAATTGAAGGAGACATAGGCACAACCACAACACTAGCTGGAAACATCATCGCCCCACCTGTAATAACTGACCGAACAAGCACACAAAAGATCAGCAAGGAAATATAAAACAGCACAGCAAGCAACTGTATGCCCAGATATTGAATAGTGAAGGTGAAATGGAAAATTCCTAGAAACACACAACTTATGGCGACTAAATCATGAAAGAATGAAAAATCTGAGTGGACCTACATGTATTAAGCAGTTTAAATCAGTAATCAAAAACCTATCAACAAAAAAAAAGCTCAGGGCCTGATGGCTTCACTGGAGAAGGCCACCGAGCATTTAAAGCAGATTTAACAACAATTATTCTTAAGTTCTTAAAAAAAAAAAAACCTGAAAAGGAAGAAACACTTTCTAACTCATTCTATGAGGCCAACTTTACCCTAAGAATAAAGCCAGACAAAGACACTGAACAAAAATAAACTACAAACATTGCATATGATTACTGCTGCCAAAAAAAATGCATCTACACAAAATGCTAGACAACTGAATTCATCAACATACTGAAAATTATATACCATGGCTAAATGAGATTGTTTCCTGGAATGTAAGAATTGATCACATGTTAATTTTAGGAAAGGCAGTACACCTCATTAACAGGAAGAAGGGAAAAAATCATATGAAATCACAACTGATGTGGAAAAAGCACTTGACACAACTTGAGTCCCCACCAACTCCATCAACCCAGGCTGGTCAAGCAATGCCCCTGCGGACCCGCCAGCTTCTCTCGGGAGCCTTGTGGATTCTACTGGGCATTGCATTACCAGGGGACCGTGCAGCCTGGGCCTCTGGGATCCACGCTCTGTCCAGCACATCGGAGCCTGCCCTGGGGTCCCTGAAGGAGCAGCACACCCAGGGCTCACCCCCTTCAGCCCTGTCTCTGGGCATCTGGGTCCCGTGAAGGCAGAAGTCACTACATTTCCTGCCCTTGTCCTGCAAGGAGAACAAAAGATACTTCAGAGGTGATGAACAGAGACTTGATTGAGGGCAATGCCCGGAGTTTGTGACCAAATAATAAGATAAATGACACTGATTTTCAGTACATTTGAGCAATCGTCCTTGACATCTGTTTCTGTTGTGAATGCCGCACTTGTGTCATGTGTCAGCTTTCAGATACTGAGAGATCTGTGCGTCTGGAGGATAAGAATAGTCTTCTTTTCTCCCAGCCCAGGTCCTAGTTGTCATCGATCCCTACACTCATACAGGAATTAGGTTAAGCCTTTTTGACTTGTTTCTTTTGTATATCAGCTTTCAGACTCTGAAACCTCCAAGCAGAAATCATTTCCTGCCCCACCAGCATGGGCACACAGAGCAGCAGGACATGGCTGGACCATGGGACTTGAGACCATGGCCACCTCTGTGGGAGCAGGTCCTGATGGTCAGAGAGACTTCCCAGGGTCTTGGTTCTGTATCTCGAATACGGTCAGCTCTCAGCGGTCATTTTCCGAGAAAGATGAAGTTTGAAATAGTCCAAATAAAATCACTTCCAGGAAAGACAATGAGCTGTGTTTTGTTCTTATTCCTCCGCATTTGTGGATGGAAGTTTATGTGCCGTGTAGAGAAGACTTTTCTGGCCATCAAATCAAGGATAACAGATGAGCTTGCTCCAGGCCCTGGAGGCGTTGTACAGATTTCTGTGTTGATGTCATAGCCTACACGTTTGCTGATATTATTAATTCGTTCTGACATTTCTTGCTTTAGCTTATGGTTTTGTTTTCTACATACAAGATCAGGTCATCTCAGAACAGAGATAAGTTTACTTCTTTGGAATGCATATTATTTCTTTTCCTAATTTTTTTTACTGTAGCCAGAACTCCCGATGCCATGTTGACTGAGTGGTAAAAGCAGATAAATTTTCATATTATCAATCTTATGCAGAAACACTTTCAATTTTTTCAACACTAAGTATGATGTTAGCTGTGGTTTTTTCATATGTGGGCTTCATTATGCTGAGAAATATTCTTTCTCTTTCTAATTTATTGAGTGTTTTTGTTATCATGAAAAGATATTTTCTTTATATTACTGGACAGTAAACACGCCTTCTGATTCTCTGGAGGGAGACACACTCTCTGTATTGCAAGGCGGTTCACTGTACAAACAGGAAGGGCTGAATGGTGAAGGGTCGTCGGTGCCGCTGCAGATCAGGGGTCCAGAGATGTGCGAGACCGTGCGGAGTTCTCTCCCGAC